TATTGAAATTTTGGACATTATCCGTCATCCTTTAGGAGCCGGGGTAGCGTAGTCGGTATAGCGGCTGGCTACGGGCTGGACAACTGAGCGGTCGGGGTTCGAGTCCCGGTAGGGTCAAGGATTTTCTCCTCTCCAAATAGTCGAGATCGGCTGTGGGATCCACCCAATCTCCTATCCAATGGTCACCTGGGGCTTTTCCCCGGGGTAAAGCGGCAAGGGCGTGAAGCTGACCTCTCACCTCCAGCTAGTGCTGAGGTCAAGAAAATGTGGATATTTACATCCCCACTGTCTTCAGACTGGTGTAGGGTCTGGCGTTATCGGGTTGCAGAAGAAAGGTTGTCTTCTTCTCTAGCCTGACTCTGGAAATTCGGGTCTTCAGCGTAGTCAGCGTCATGATGTAATGGTCAGAGTTGATGGTTTGTCCGGGTCCCAGGAATTCCAGCTGGATCACGCCTTTGCTATCCCAGAAGACCATGCACATTTTACCCGCTGAACTTTTTCTTTGATGGGAAATTCGCATGTCGCTACTCCATGGAGTGTCATTTTGATTCTGGCTCGTAATGGTGACACCACGTCTCGTCACCGGTGATGATGCGGTCCAGGAATGTCACCTTCAGCTTCGTAATGGTTCAGCAGGTCCTGACAGAGTTGCATTCTGTGGCCGTTATGTTCCTGTGTGACCATCCGTGGGACCCACCTGGCACAAACTTTGCGATATTCCAACGTTGCCAACATCGTTTCTAATGCATTGAAGCCAATATTCAGCTCCGTACACAGTTCCCTGGTCATAATCCTCCGATTCGCGCTGATGAGCTGATCGAGGCGCTCTCCATTTCGTGGGCCGACAGCTGTGCAGGGTCGCCCAGAACGTGGCCTGCCTCTCACATCGCTGTCGCTACTGCTGAAACGCACCACCCACCGCCTCACTGTGCCCATATCCACTCTTTGGTTTCCGTAAACGTTCAGCAAGCGTCGTTGAATGTCAGTGGGTGTAATTTTTTTCCGCGTGGAGGAATTCAATGACCTTTGCTTCGTGCGCACTTCCATGTCACACGCCATTTTGCCAGACTGCCCCTCTGCTCCTGTCAGATGCACGGCAACAAAACTTACGAACTTTTGGCGGGAAGTTTCAACCTCTACTGCCGCACCACCAGCATCGTGGGACAACATAATAAAATAGAAGTCGTTAATTTCAGGGCGCCCTTCGTAGATATATAGACGTGGCCCTGCTCCCAGGAACATAGCTCAAACCCCATGAGATATTATTTATTCCAAATTAGCACTTTTATCGAAATGACGGAACTGCCGTTGCAGTGAGAAACGGCGTTCCCCACAACCATGTAGACCTGCCTCCGCTTGTTTCAATTCAAGCCACAAGGGTTTACATACTGATTGGTAATAGTGAAGTGTAACTTGCAGTAGTCTGTAAGTCACCAGGCCATCCCTGGAATGATACAGACATCACTGAGCTCTTGAGCTGTAGACATAAGTCACTACTGGCAAGAGATCTAAATGCTAAACATTCATTTTGGAATAGCATAGTTTTCAACCTTTCAGGCACAAAACTACAGAATTTACTGCACATAAATGAGTTTAAAATTTCAGCAGTGGATCACCAAAAGCATTGGATAGATGGTCTATAGAAAGGCACTCGATTGGTGGGAAATTTAAGTAGGGAACTGTGAAGTCACACGTCAAAGTCTGTGGCTATTTGCGAAAATGCTTATGGAAAGGATGGATCAAAGACACCAACCGCTCTTTATTGACCTTTATGAATAATGTGTCACCTGAATGAGAAAGTCAGCATGATTGCGGATTGTGTTGGAAACCAGTTCACATCTCATGTCCTGTGTGACGAAAACCATTAGCAACAGGTGGAGACTAGAGTCAAAGCTCTGCTTGCATCTATAGGTGACACTCTGTTGGGAAAAGTAAGACCTTGTCACATATATAAATTAGTACATTCATTGAAATTGAGAAAGGCTTATGGACTAGATGGTATTCCAAATGAATGCATAAGGTATCTTCCAAGAAGACCACTGGTACATCTGACACATTTATTTTATCACTGCCTTCAGCTGGCCCATTTTTCAAAGCCCTGGAAGGAAACAAAAGTTATAACGTTACCAAAACATGCTAAGGATCCAAAATTCCCCCCAAATTTATGTCCAATTAGCCTCTTGTCTGCAACAGACAGGCTATTCAAGAAAGTTATTCTGAAAATAGTCCATGGCCTGCTGAATGCAAGCCAGTTTGGTTTCTATGTCTGTCATAGCACAACACTTCAATGTATAAGGCTTATGGACCATGTCACCTTAACTTTCATGAATAACATGTCTGCAAGTGCTGTATTCTTGGATATTGGAAAGGCCTTTGATACAACATGGCACCTCGGCTTGCTATATAAATTATTAGAATTAAAATTTTCTATCAGTCTAATAAGGCTTATTAGCTCCTTTCTTTCTCAGAGAAAATTCAGAGTTTCGGTCAAAGGTGAAATGTCTTCACAAAGGGATACACAACCAGGGGTGCCACAAGGTTCCATCTGTTCCCCACACTGTACATTCCATATATAAATGATATGCCCAAAAATGCCTGGTGTCTGTTTAGGTCTCTTTGCTGATGCGACAGACCACTAAGAGATTTATGTTCTCAGAAAGTTGCAGAGATGTCTCACTGCTATTAAGACATGGTGTGAGTGCTGGAACATAGAAATCAGTGAAGATAAGACTCAGGCCATCTACTTTTCTCATAGACTTAGGTCCCCCTGAGGCTCATATTACATTGAATGGATGAAATATCCCCTTTGTAATCTTTAATAAGAGGATTACATGTAGACTGCGCATAGAAGTGTTTGAAGCCAAGGCCTTCAGAACATTTATTAGTATCTACTCTCTATTCAAAAGTCAGCATTTAAGCACCAGCATTAAACTATCCCTCTGTAAGGCACTGATTGGATCAGTGATGATATATGTTTGTCTCCACTGGGAATTAGTGGCAGACACCTACCTCTTAAAATTGCAGTGCCTGCAAAACAAGGTTCTGTGCAACATTGGAAACATTCCAAGGTGCACACCAGTCACAATTTGCACATGGCTTTCAACCATCCCTATATATACATTTATATAATAAAATTGTGCAAGCAACTAGCAGAAGTCATACCAAATCATGAGAATGAACATGTTCACAGTATAGGACAAGGCAAAGCGCGCTCACTCACTCCCTCACTCACTCACTCACTCACTCACTCACTCACTATCTGAGCTGCACCCTTCTTGAGAAGCTGCCAGTTCTGCAGCTACTCAAGAACTTCCCAGCATTTTATGGAACCCGTAGGTTCATTACTGTATTCCCAAGAGCCCTCCATGGGTCCCTATCCAAAGCCAGATCAATCCAATCCATACCATCCCATCCTATCTCTCTAAGATCCATTTTAATATTGTCCACCCACCTACGCCTTGGTCTTCCAAATTGTCTCCTTCCTTGCAGCTTTCCCACTAATATCCTATATGAATTCCTCCTCCCCCATTCGTGCTACATGTCCTGCCCACCTCATCCTCCTTCACTTTATCATTCTAATTATACTTGTAGAAGAGTACAAGTTATGAAGCTCCTCATTATGCAGTTTTCTTCAACCTACTGTCACTTCATCTCTCTTTGGTCCAAATATTCTCCTCAGAACCCTTTTCTCAAACACCGCCAGTCTGTGTTCAGACGTAGAAAATATAAGAGGCTTAAACTTGGTGGTGGTTAAGTTTACAACCATTCAAGTGACTATGCTGCTGTTGTAGCATAATATATGTAAGGTAGGCATGATCTGCTTTGTAAGGTCTGTACTGACAAAGGACTTTTATTTAGTGCAAAAAGAAGTATTTTCAGTAACATGAGATATGTGTGATACATACACTTGATGATAGGGCAAGCATATTCATAAGAGGCAAACCTATCTTCTCGTCATAGAGGTGTTACGTGAGAACAATGACCGCAGGTTTGAATACCTCCACCGTATTCCTGCGAGTCATAAGAGGCGACAGAAAGGGAGCCCAGTGCCGGGCATATAACCGGACCATCCCATTCCTGGAGGATATAAATATGGGGACCTGGCCCTTCAGGTTGTTGGAGTGTCAAATCTGAGGCAGTAAAATATGGTTAAGAGTCCTGCAGGACTTGGACCTGAGAATGATTGCTCTAGCGAGGGCCAGCAGAAATTGTAAATGATGGACACTTTTGTTCATCAGAGAACATGGAATTTTTTCAATTGACCTAATCCTTCCAGCCATACTATGGCCCTGGGGTTGGCTCAGCCTCTAACAGAAATGAGTACCAGGAATTAATTAAATTAAATAATTTTCCTGGGTAGTAAAGCGCTGCCGGCGCATAAAGCTGACAACCTTACCACCATCTTTGAGCCGATTGTCTAGATAATGTGGGACCCTCAACGTCTCACAACCCTATTGGCCTTCACGGCCTGTTACAGGGATACCTTTACTTTTTTTTACCTGTATATTGTTCATACATTTAGCTCATTGTCTTTTTGACTGTATGCATATACAAATAGAACTACTACTCTTTGCATAACAAGGATTGTGGGATGAAATTGTGTTTATTATTGTAGCAGGCTTGAGATTAAAATATTTTCTCCTTGCTGTGCCAGGGGTGAAATTAGTCTATACCACTGTACATTTTCATTTCAAACACTTTTAAGTGACTCCTGAGCTTGTGCATCATCAGCTTTGGTTGAAAGAATGAAGAAGAGTTTTAACACTTCATGGATTTTATACCCCATAATGCTAATAACCCTTTTAATTTCTATTACTGTTTTGTTTCATTATAATATTTTCATTTGTTCAGAGTTGAAATGAAAGGGATGTATGATGAAAGTGTTTTCCCAGTTTCTGTGTATAAACATACTGTGGATGTCACTTAGGCATCATTCCATTCTGTTCACAAGAATAAAGTACAGTACTTCACAGTATATTAAACTCTTAATTTCTCTGTAGGTAACCAAAGATGGTTGTGAGTGATGCAAGTATACACAATATTATGGGGGGAATGGAGAGCACGGCGGGAGTACGACTTCATAATCACCGACGGAAGCTCAAGCAGAGGTAAGGTTGCGTTGTGAAAAATCCTGTTACTCAAATTCTGAATCAGCCTTTTCCTTTCCCATTTTGCGTAACTTATTTCTTTTATCAGTTCATGAATAGGAAATGGTACTGGTGATTTTGTAAGTTGTTTATGTGATATTAGTTGAAGAGAATTAGTCAGAAACTTGAAATGAAATAATGTGTGGATTCGTTCATTTAGTTCATAAAATTGGAGCTCCTGATTTTGTTTTAATGAAACGTTCTTCAGATGTTACAGTTGAGTTTGTAACAGCCGTTTATATCCAGGAGTTGCTGGGTTGAAATTCTGGCCTGGTGACTGGATCCCTGACTGAGGATTTTTGTGGTTTTCCTATGTCCCTCCAGGCAAATGGTATGGTAGTACCTCATATTAGGGCATGACTGCTTCCTTCCACATCCTTTCAGATTCATTATTTGTTCCTCATCCAGCCATTTGCAACTATATAATCTAAGCTGTTGTGAGCGTTGCTAAAGAAATAATATATAAAGTGAACCAATAAATATGTGAGATTCTCACAGTAGTGATTATGAAGAGTACACTCTTCTGGGGCAACATCCCAGAAGACAGTAGTCTTGAAGTAAATAACTCACAACTGTCACTAATAGATCCTAAAGGGTTCTGATGATGGTGTATAACACTCAGGATTAGATTAGTCCAGTGACTGAGGTTACCTCTTCCTAATGGACCCAACGAAGTAGGTGTTTCCCATCTGTCGTTTGAAATCAAGCAGATCCAATATCTGATACATTGTGTTCTTTAGAGTACTGGGTGCAAAAACCCAGTAATACTGTTCAGTCAAGTAATGTGCCTGAGGTAGTGAGCTTAAAATATTAAAAAAAAAGTTTCCTGGTTTCAAGTCACAGTTCTGATCTTTTATATGATTAGAACTAAAGATTACTGTTCTGATGTTTTTGTGTTAGAATTTGAATACTGGCGGTAATGCTGTAGAAGGTTAGATAGAAATGGAAGTCAGACATGTCAGGGTTGTCTTTAATGGGTGGTAAAAACCGTTGAATTTAACAATTTGTTCGTTATGCCAGGCTGCATAGATTTTAGACAGTGGAATATTTATTGCAAGATTGAGAATATTCTGGTATGATCTAAAATGCAGTAAATGGGCAGAACTTTCAAAATAAACAATTGCCATCTCTGGCTACAGTTTCCCCAGATAACGCCTCCATTTATTCCCTCTTATATATTAAACCATGATTTCACTTAGTAGGTACACTGTCAACAATAGCAGTTTGTTTTCAGCAAAGCTTGAGACTGCGGTGCCAACTGAAGCATAAATACCTCTCACTGCCACTTGGTGGTCCTCTCCATAACTGTGGTTGACTACTTCTGCATAATGACAGAATAAGGACAGAATAACAAGAGAATAGCCAAGCCTTAGGCTTTTACATAGATGTATTAATACCGTTATCAAGTTTTATGTCTCTACATATATATATGTGTGTGTGTGTAATTACAGAAGAAGTCTAATGTGTCTTTTGTCCTGAAGCAGAAAATCAACTCCACTTTCAGAATTGCTTGTTTGTCTGGGAGCTATCATGCTTGCTGCAGAAACTACAACATGTTGTAGTTGGTGTATTTTTGTAATGCCATTGTGCCCTTGCAGGAGCAGTTCCTATAGTTCTTTTTACCAATGTCTTGGAGAAGTGCCAGTCTATTGGCATCCATTCTTCTTGTTCTCAACATCATCCCTGATGAAGCTTGCTAACAAGCCAGAATAGTTACTGTGTTAATTAAAAATCTGTACAGGTTGTTGTCAATTAAAATGGGACTGACATTGAACTTTAATTGTAGGGATAACTGTGTAAGATGGAAAAGCTGTAATTTAAGCACTGGCATTGATTGTGTAAAGAATTTAGAAATTACAGTGCTGGTTTCCATTTTGTAATGTCTCACCTTATTTTGGAAACTTTATACTAGTGGATTGAGGGTATTCCATTCCTATGTCAAGGTATCTTGTTTGAATCCTGGCCAGGAGCTGGGCTTCATAATGCAAGCTTCTTATGAACTGTGTCAGTTACTGAAAGTTAACCATGGTTCTCTGTGAATGAAATGTTTGTCTTTGGACTGGACAGTACCTCTCACAAGAAGGGGTTCTTTCTTTGCCGCCTTCTCATTTCAGATTCAGTCTGGTATCAGTCCACTGGGTCTCTAATCCTTGTGGCAAATCAATTGGAGTGTGAAGCTGGATACTTACTTCTCCCTAGTGCTGAAGTTAAATGCTCTGTAGGCTACCTTGATGTGGTTCCTGGGTACAAGGATGGCCACCATTACCTTTTACCACCTGGGCAAATAAGTACCAGTAAATTTCTTAAAATAGCCACAAAAAATCCTTACCACCCATTCTACTTCTCATTGGAAGTTCTGTTATTGCTCATTAAGTGCTTACAGCTTCTGCATTTCATGTTTGTTCATTAATTGCCCAAAGAAATAATTTTGGAAATGCCAGTTAAGAAGTAAGTGGTCAGGCAGAAGAGATGAAATTGTTGTATATTTCAAAGTGTGTTTTGAAGATGTTGGCGTTATCTGAAAGTCTTCAGTTGATGTGGAGGGTTTGCAGACATTTCTTCTTTAGTACTGGAAGAGGTACACATGAACTGCTATACTTTGTTACAGTAATTGTTCTGTGTTTATTGGAGTAACCTCATTAAGATAAGCACATTACAGATTAAATTAAATAACCATGATCCCTTGCATTTAGAAAGAACTTCCTTAATCTGCGCAACCAGCTGAGTATCAAGTGACAGATGAAACCCTCAGCTTAAAGACTGAGGGTGTTATGATAAATGTACTTCCTGATCAGGACAGTCATACACTTTAGGGGTCAGTGACAGCTAAGAATGGATCAGTGGTGGAATGGTGATTATTAAGGGAAAACTGAAAATATTCCTGTTCCAGTATCACATGAATCTAATATGATGTCATTGGGGATTGAACCTGTGCGTCTGCAGTGAGAAGCCAGTGTCTTAACCACCTGAGCTACAGCATAGCCCTCATTGCATTTAAAATTAAAGTTATTTGTTTGAGCTGTGAAATCATTGTGGCTTACTTACACGTGCTGAATGAATGAAACTGAGTGCTGTACTGCTGAGATCTCTGTTTCCATTAAGAACTTCTATAAATCTTGTTTCAGATCATGTATGTTGAAATATGTTTATTATACTTATGTAATAGATAGGCTGGTAACCTGGCCCACTCAAAAATTTAAAATGCTAACATGCAAGTGATTCTTGTTATATGTGCTTTTGTTATCTGCTGTTTTATTTCAGTGTTATGAAGGGAGGACCATCAGTGTCCTATCTGTATCCATGGTAGAAGCTGTCACACTTGAAGAAGCTCCTGTGGAATTGCCTTCACCATCACATGTGCCCTCTGAATCATCTAACATTGTCAATCTAGCTACCCAGTAACTCCTCCAGCTAGCAATTTCCCATTTTACATGTTTTAAAATATATTTTAAGGAGTGCAACCCACATGTATGTGGGAGTGAGTCACTGGTACTTCTCAGAACTCAATGAGCATGATGGAATGTGTTCTATCTTAAGAAGAACCTTTAAGATGAGGAAGGAAATGCAGCTGATAAAGTGATATCACTACCAACTTTACTATAAGGAAATTAAACTTGGATAATTGAAGATAAACAGAATACACTCAGTAGGAATGCAATGCTTAAAATCGTTTAAAGGTTGCACTAGAAAAGAACAGATTAAGTCCAAAGATATTGGGAGTGAACTGAAAATGTGGTTAGTACAAAACAAAATAGAGGTACATAGGCAAAACTGGATAAACTGGGTAAACCATGTGGATAGGATGGCTGGTAGAAAATACCAATTCAGTGCTGTTACTGTGGGAACATATGCACCAAATATTTTCCTTATACAATTTTGAATGCCTTTTGTTGCAGGTTTGACATCATTAAGAAGCTTGGACAAGGAACATACGGAAAAGTTCAGCTAGGGATCAACAAAGAAACGGGACAAGAGGTAAATGCCTAACTGTCAGCTTTAGAACTAACATTTTCTATACATTTTTGTTCGTTGATTATGGTCATGGTGGTGGTTGTGGTTATAATGATAATGACAAATAATTAATTTGTTGATAGTGGTGCTAATTTCATCATTGATTATAATTTTGGCAGTGACAGCAGAAGAAACAGTATTACTTGTGTGATCTGTGACAGTTAAAAAAATAATATTATATAATTGTCATGCGAGGGAGTGTGACTGTAGATTGGGTTTGGAATGATGATTAGATTTATTAACAATTTACAGATCATAACTACAAGTAATTATAGCTCTGTTACTAATCTCTGCACTTCACAAGTCACTCCAGCACATCCTAAGCCTTTTCAGCCTGCTTTCACTAGTCTTTTCCTGGTAACGGATCTTAATAATGGGGAATCTTCAGCTTCTGTGCTCACTTTGTTACTGTCCAGCCTATATTCCACAACTGAACTCATGCTTCAGTTTGCTATCTCAGACTTTTGGTCGTCTCACACCAACCTCCCACTCTTCTCTTAACAGACTGACTTACAACTGACTATTGTTTGACTGGTGTCCTCGACAACCCCTTGGCACAGACTACACAGAAAATACAGTTTCCAAAAGTTCCTTTATTCTTGTGCCTGACTCTTGCTGTGGGAACCTGTTTGTTTTGCATTTGTTACCTAGTAACGGGTCTACACACTACAATATATATATATCTGAGAGTATTAGTGTTTCAGTCATGTGTTCCATCAATCTGCAAATAAAATTTCATTGTATACAAATTTTAAAACAAAATTCTACTCCTGAGAATTATACTAAAACTGAAATGTTAGTTTAACATTAAAAAATATTTAATTAAACCAATCAAGGCTATTTTACTCTTTGAAATATCAGCCAAATGTTCATTGTCTGTAATGCACTGTGACTTTATTGGCACATTTCCCAGGGAATTTGTCATACACCTTGCATTGATGAGTTGTGTTGTACATAACCAGAACACCTTGGATAGCGCATTAGGAATGATTTGGTGGGTGACCTGTTAGTAAATATTTACAGAGGTCTTAGTGGAGTAACAAGCCATCTGGTGTAGCAGATTTAATAGGACAGATCAAGTTTGATGTATGGCCCACATATTTTGGCCCCTTGTGGCTATCCTCAGACCACCTCTGTGGTCTAGCGGTCAGAGTTCCTGGCTACAGATCCAGAGGTCCGGGATTCCCAGCAGTGCCAGATTTTCTGAGAAGTAGTGGGCCTGGAATGGTGTCCACTCAGCCTCGTGAGTATAGTTGAGCTATTTCAAGGAAATAGCGGTTCTGGTCTAGAAAACCGAAATTAACGACTCTGGGGATTCATTGTGCTGACCACGCGACGTCCTCTATCCACTAAAGTTGACGCTAACTTTGCCAAAAAGCAGCGGTTGCTCGGTCAGTATAGTTCGCTTGCGGACTAAAACCACAGAGTATTTTTTTTTGTGGCTGTCCTCAGAGGCATGACAATAAAAGGAAATTTAACATTATAGTTGTTGTAGGTCTTAAAATTTGGTTTACAGTAAGTTATTTTTTTTTATAAATAGGTATTTCTTAGAGGTTTATACAGTAAAAGTATAGTTTATTATGTCCTCCTTTTATATGGCACAGAAACACTATAGCATGTCATATCTTCTGTTTTTAGCATGATGTTAGGCTCTTTGTGTTATTGTGTGTATACTGAACACACAAAAGCTACACACATTCAATGGGCCTATTAGATGTTTTTAATAAACAATAACACATAGCCTAACATCATGCAAAAACATGTGGCGTGCAGTAGTGCTTATCTTCTGTATATGAGGAACACCTAATGAACAGTACTCTTACTGTGAAGACTTAAGAAATACCTTTTTATAAAAATAGTATAACTTATAAGGAGCACGCAGTAGCGTAGTTGGTTGAGGCACTATGCCACAAGCCGGAAGGTCGCGGGTTCAAATCCCGATGAGGTCATTGGATTTTTTTCAGTTTACCCAATCCTTCCAGCTGCACTATGGCCCTGGAGTCAACTCAGCCTAACAGAAATGAGTACCAGGAGTATTCTTGAAATATTCTTGGGGGTAAAGGGTGGCCACCACGTAGGGCTGACAACCTTGCTGCCATCTATAAGCCGATTGTCTGGAAAATGTGGGAACCTCAACATCTCACAACTCTGTGGGCCTCCACGGCCTGTTACAGGGATACCTTTACTTTACTTTACTTTACTTTTTACTTTTAGTATAACTTATAACTGTGAATAACTGTCTTGCCTCTGAGGATGAACCCAAAGGATTGAAACACATAATACCATACATCTAATTTGATTAATTCTATTAATTTTTTTTTACACTGGATGGCTTATTAGTCCAGTAATTACTAAACATGTAACAGTAAAGATGTCATATACTAAAATTTCCGTAGTCATTTGCCTGTGGTAATTGCCTCTATTTATAAGTCATCCTTTGAGCGAGTATGGACAGTGAGCGTAATGCTCCCAGTAATAGAATCTGCCACAACTCAAGTAATATGTCCTTGCCAGCATTTATGGAAGGTCTTTTGCTGTTGATGCAAGTTTCATCAGTAAATAATACTTTTTGACTTATCTCCCACCTCATCGTGCATCTGCCTTAAGTATTTGCACAAAAAAATCGGTGGTAGCTCATCTTACAGCACCTATTTCCTCTCCACTGAATATTTTCAAGTGAAATCCATGTCATGTAAATCCTAAATAAGGAAGCAGTTTTGTCATGGTAATTTTTTTGTTTTATTACAACAGATGAGATCTTCAGACAAATATGTGTTTCTTTATGTGAAAGTTGTCAATTGTCATACAGATTACATTACTATCAAAGCTGTTAATATTGGCTAATTTCTTTGATGGTCTTTTTAATGGGGACACTAACATAACTTTCTGACTGAATTTCCTGCTCTTGTTTCACTATTTGGATTGTTCTTTTAGTCATGCTGCTGTAGGAAAAAAATCCCATTAATGGCTAGTTTGTTGTGACAGTATATTTTCACTCATCTTTGTATGATGCTACTAATAATGTTTAGTTTTTTTGCTTTAGATATAATGCTTTTCAGTCCATAATTGTCTTACATCTTGAGATTCTCCTGGTTCTCCTATTGAAGAAACTAATGTAATTTTGTTAAGTCCCATTGGGAATGTGATTCAATTTTAAGGGTTTGAAAGAAATTTTAAGAGCTGAGTTTAAAAAATTATTGTAGCTGGAGATTCTGGTTTTTCCCCGCTCTGTTAATCACTGCAACATGGCACCCCTGATGCAATACAAGATGTAATTCTCCCAGACCTTAAATGCATTTCACCAATTTTAGTACTTGTTTAGAACATTAATTGTGAATTTGAACTTCATACCATTCTTGAGCTTAACTTAGTTAGTTAGTTAGTTAGTTATTGGAGAGGGTGGGTTTCCCCATGCACTGAGACCAGTATTGGTCCATTGTGCTTTCCTCTATGATATTCTACCAGTCTCTATACCCTACCGATATTGGTGCATACCATCAGTCCTGACCGAACCAGCGAGTTCAGCCTCTACTGGCTTGGCGGTATCTATAATGCTTCCCCCATCTATCAGAGGCGTTAGAGACTACTGTTGGGTGGGAAATGGCCTTGAATTTGGCTCAGTGACCTCCTTTGGAGATATGAGGTTCTTTTCTGTGCTGTAAAGCTACGACACGGGACCCACGGCTTAAAGTCCCTCCCGGAGGACTTGTTCCCTGAATTTTTCCGCCCTTAAAAATTCCACGACCTCCACCGGGTTTGAACCCGCGTACCACGAGTCATGAGGTGGGAACGTTACCTCTAGACTACGGAGGCCGCTTTAAGCTTAACTTACTTGCTCTGTAATAGCCAAGTGTTGTAATTGTGAATTTGAATATCATACCATTCTTAAGCTTAACTTCCTTGCTCTGTAGCAGACAAGTGTTGATACAGAGATGAAGCCCCGAACTTTAAAGTTCAACAGTGTGACAGTGCTGCAGGTCAGGGCTGTCACATAACCTCTGGGAGCAGTGGTAGTCGAATAAAGAACAATGGTGCAATGATGATAAGCAGTGGAAAATTGAAGATTCTATGAGAAACATCTGTTCCAGTGCCACTTTGCTCACCATGAATGTCATATAAAGTAAACCAGCTTGAAACCAAGTCTTCTCAGTGAGACCCCAACATCTGACTGCAACATTTGGCATAGCTTTCATATCACTGTTTTCCTAAATCCTGTGTAGATGCATTATGCATTTCAGTTTATCATGCCAACTCCATCTGAGAGTGAACCTAATATATTATAATTTTCTTCTACTTGCTTTCATGAAATGTATTTTCTTATTCTGTGGCAGGTTGCCATCAAGACAATCAAGAAGGCAAAAATTGAGACTGAAGCAGATCTGGTGAGAATTCGACGTGAGATTCAGATAATGTCATCAGTTCAGCATCCAAATATAATCCATATATATGAAGGTGAATTTGTGTTTCTTGTTCAGTGAAGCTGCTATATAAAGTTATAATCTTATAAATGAACAGAGCATGGCAATGAGAATTTTAATGCTGTTTATGGTTTTCTTGCATTAAATTTATGAAATTAATTCTTGCTGAAGATGTATCTACACATGTGTCTTTTGGCGTGTTTTGCCTCCCATATTAGGTGGATGTCAGTTGGGGAAACTTTAAAAGTAGTTCAGGCAAACTTTGTTTCAAGTCTGTATTGGTTTGTAAAATCAAGTGAAACCTTTATCACCAAGCAGGTTTGTGTAATGGTAGTACTTTAGACTTGTGTTTGGAAGGTGCTCAGTTTGTACCTCACCCAGGACACCAGTTATCCTAACAGAATATTATTATGGTTTTCCTCCAGTCTGTCCAGGCAGATGTGGGGATAGTATCTGAATTATGCCACAACCACTTTCTTCTACATCCTTCCAAATGTATCATTCTTCAGTCATCCTGCCAGTTTGATGGTATTTAGTCTAGGTACTGACATCACTGTAAAATAAACTATTCTCACAAAAAAGAAGATGGAGGTGGAGAAAGGACTTTTTCATGTATCATGTTTCTCAAAAATAGTTCATTGTGCATATATATATATATATATATATATATATACAGGGTGTCCCAGGAGGAATGGACCAAAGTTCGGGAGGGTGTTCCTTATGTTAAAGTATGCCGATATAACCCAAAACACCTATGTCCAAAGTTGAACGGTTACGGAGATAATGGCCCGAGAAAAGTGTGGTCTTCTAGCGGGTCCACGCACTATACCTGTCAGCTGTGACTGTTATCTGTTTGTCCTTGAGTGCTGTGAGTCACACTATCCGTAATCCCATGTGCTACTTACAGAGGCTACAGTGTATGTTGCGTCAGCGTCGTGAATGGTTAGTAAATTACGTGTAGTTGTGCGATGTTGCTGAAATGCCTTTTGTGTTTTCACACGTTGAGTATTGTGATATGCATTTTGTGTATGGATTTTGCGGTGGCAATGCACGTGCTGCTGTTGAAGAGTACCAAAGGCGTTTTCCTGATCGAAGGA